CGGCCAACCCCTCCAGACAGGACACATCCGAGTGCAGTCAGGGCTGCAGCCTGGAGATGTCCGAGGTCAAAGGCACTCCAAGAGAGGGATAGGGGTTCACAGACGACCAGGCCACTGTGCAAGCAACGCACGGAGACCCGTGACCCCAGGTGGTGAACCCAAGTACCCAGAAAAGCAAACTAGCGGGGCGGAGGGGGCGCAAAAGGGCGGTCTCGAGGACACAGAAGGCAGGCAGCGCTCACACGTGCTCCCGGACCAGGAAGTAAAAGGGTCGCACGGTAAATTCAGGGACTGTGCAGACGCACCGGGGCGCGCGCCAGGACCCTGTCCCCGCCGCCACTCAACGCCAGCCTGCGAACGTCGGACTCCCTCCTTCCTTCTTCCCCAACAACTCGACGCTGGAGCGGTCTGCTGGGGCTTGGGACCCGACCCCTTGGGTCGGGAAGGACGCCCCGTCTATGCACCCGCAAGGCTCGCCTTACTCAATTGCCCCACAATGCAGAGTCCAGGCTTGGGAACCGGACCTGACAGCACGGGGCGGGGCACCCAGTTCGGACCCTTGCGGCTGGCTGCCAGTCTACAACCCCTACGCTCCCTGGAGCAATAATCAAGTGTTGGCTTTTGCTTTCTACAGGCCCCACACATACCCCCACCCGACTCCCACCCCGCTTCCTTGGTCCCTCAGTCCTGCTCACCGTCCAAGCTGGATGGGCAAGTGCTCACGCACGTCAGGGGCTGCAGTGCAGAGTGGAGCTCAAGACCCGACCAGGCTTGGAGTTTTCTGGAGGGTCCCGCCTCAGACGGGGCGGACCAGGGGCGGGGCAAGGGCCGAGATGGTTTAAAGGCGCAGCCTCCCAGCCTCGTGGAATGCGGGTAAGCTTAAGATAAGGTGGTCAGCAGGCAGGAAGGAGGGCTAAAGGACCTGCTGAGTCCTTGGAGCCGCTGCACAGGTCTCCACCCATGAGAGCTCAACCTCCACTCAACAGCCATAGACTTGTAATCCAGTAGGAAACTTTCTGCCTAGGTTAGTTAGTTTAAAAACTGGGAAGGTAAATGGAGGTACAGGAAGAGCCTTACCCCAGGATTGAGTAGGGTGTGACAGGACTGGGGCTTGCAGGCTGGGACAGCACCCCCACGTGGTTCTGCTTGCCATTTAACTTCAAGCCCGGGCAAAAACTAATAGTGAGGTCACTCCTTGCCCAGGGCCCAAGGGGTGTGGTAGGGCTTAGAACCTGGGGTTCAGAACCGACTTCTCTGCCCCTCACTTCCATATCCCATTTAATAACCTGACATTGCTCCTTAAATCCTGGAGGGATCAGAAAGAGGAGGGCTTAATGAAGGAAACTGGCAGGCATTTTTCTGCCCCTTAGGGTGGAGAGCAATAATTTAGGGGTGTCCAGAACACCTTCTACTTTTTTTTTCAGGCTTCAATTAATGGAGTCCCCAGGGTTATTTTTTTCTTCATATTATGGGGGAGTCCTCCATTGAGACCGATATTTAAAAAAGCAGCTAGTTCCACACTGACCTTCACATTTTCTATTTCCAAGTCCCCACTAAGTCCTATAGAATGCTGTTTCGGTGGTCCACTGTGCCTTTACGTTGTTCCTCCTCCTGGAAGCTTGTCCCTTTCTTTACTGGCACCTCACCTGCTCTGCCTGTTACCTGCCATGTGGCTTTTGCCCAATTACGAAAGCACCTTATGCTTTAGTTGTCCAGTCTACAAAATAAACTCAAAGCTCTGGAGACTTAAACATGGCTTGGAAAGAGCATAGAGCACTGCTTGGCACACAGGGGATGCTGTCAATCTTCTGTGAGGGTCCCAGGAAGTCCCACCCATCATAAGAACTCACTAAAGATTGACGCAAATTTGCGCCAATGTGATAACCAGCTTCCGGCTTTATCACAGAATTTGGTCTGCTGTAAACGTCTGTCTGCCTCACTGACCAGAAAGAATCCCCCAAGGACAAAGCATTATCTCCATGAATTTTGTATTTTCTCATAGCTTCTAGCCTAACAGCAAATCTCTGCTAGCTGACCGATCCTATTAGGCACTCAACAACTATTCTTTGAATGATGGTTGAATGTGTCCCATTCACAGTCTTCTCCATACAGACCTAGGGACTTCCTTGCTTCTCTTAGACACAAAGATAGGTAACAGAGAAACAGTTTTCAGACTTTTATTCACCAATTTAAAAAAAAAAAAAACTGCACCCATACTATAAACAACACACACACACACATACACACACACACACACACACACACACACACACACACACACAGAGCTCAACCCCCAGACTCAACTAAAGAGTCAGTACAAGAGTCTACACCAAGCTCACGCAAGCCTACCATTGGCATGCCAGGGTACGAAGGGGTGGGGCAGTGCCCAAGCTTGGAGCCAGAGTCTTGGCCTCCTTTGCAGACCCATACGCCTTTTCTAGCCTCACACTACGTGTGTTCATAGCAGTGTAGCCTGTTCGGGGTAGGAGATGGAATGCTGATAGGCCGGTAGCCGGGACCTGGTAGCATCCCTTCGGCGGCGGAAGGCTAGGAATTCCTCCCGAAGGGCAGCACATCGGGCCTCAGGGCCAGGAGCATGGGCTGTGTTCAGGAGACAGTTTTCCTCTGGAGTCTTCACACCTTCAAAGGGAAGGCAGGACAATGTGAGGAGAGGTATGGTGACTCACCGGGAGAAGGGTGAAGGGTGAAGGGTGAAGGGTGAAGGGTGAAGGGTGAAGGGCTCAGGCTGGAGGCTCCCAAGGGCCTTTGCCTACAGTGAGAGGCCTTTGCCTAAGGAGCGAGAGAGACGCTCCAGGTCGGGGAGCCTGAGACTCAGGAATTGACTGGGGAATAGATGGACCAGCTTGGAACCTGGGAGGGTGAGCGTGGGCCAGTGCAGCCAGCTAGGAAGTTCACATACCTAGCTCTGGCTCAAGTTCAGGGCGGGGCCGAGAGCTGGCCAAGCCCAGGTGCCAAGGCTCCAGCAGCTCCATGTCCCCGGGGAATTCTGAGTCCCATTCATAGTTTTCATCCACGGAAGTGTTCCTCCTGTTAGAAGGGACAGGCGGAAAGTGTGAGCAGAAGAACAGAGGGTACGCAGCAAAGAATGAACCTGGGGTCCTGGATAGCAGATTGAACATCCGGGGCCTCAGAGGAGTTTCTAAGAGAAGTCTTCTGGTCTCACAGTGGGAGCCGAACATGGAAGGCGAAGAGCATGGGTGGGCGGGGTGGGGGCGGGATCTGGAATGATCTGGAATGACAGGGTAGGATGGAGGGCCGGGGCAAGAATGGGTAGGTATTGCCTTTACCTTTTGCTGACTGTCACCACATGCTCCCTTCGGGGCCACCTCTCAGGGCCACTGGCCCAGCTGCTGGTGTCTCCTGGAGCTGGACTGAGGTAGCTTCCCCCTGCAGAGGGGGCTGTGGACGGGGGCCTCAGGAAGGAAGCGCTTCCTCTCCCACTGCTCTGGCTGGTGAGGCTGCCACGAGGGGCCGCGGGGAGAAGCCCTGGCAACACCCGCTCCCTCATTGTCCAGTCAGCCAAAGCTGTGTAAGGGGGCTCTGAGGAGGCCCCAAACCCCGTCAGTGTCCTCGGAAGCACTGCCCTGAGGTTTGCAGGAGGAGAGTCAGGTGGTGGGAAGAAAGATGAGGAGGCACAGGGCTGAGTATCCATGAAATCTGGAGGTGGAGCAGGTGTGGGCTCCTCAAGAGGTGGCCAGTCCCCATCTACATTCATCTCCCGGAAGAAGGGTAGGCTCAGGTACTGGAGCAGGGGTCCTGGACCTGGTAGGGGGGCTGCAGGAGGCGGTCCCACAGGGCTGATGTCTGAAATGCAGAGGGATTGTGGGACCCCACTGGGACTGCTACTGCTACAGTCAAAGGACTGGGCCAGGCGTTTGGATGAGGTTTGAGGTTCTGCCCGCTCCAGACATAACCTTTCCTGTGGAGGGGCCACAGTAGGTCCCATCACAAAGCGACCATCTGGGCCCCGGCAAATGGGCTCCAGTGGTAAGGGTCCCCGACCAATCGGAGAATCAGGGTGGGGGCTAGGAGGTCGGGCAGGCTCCCCCCAAAGCAGACTCTGGCGTAGGCTGGGGACCGGGGAGCCCTGGAGCTTCAACTTGGTCACACTGTCAGGGCTGCTGGAGCCAGGAGCAGAGCTGAAGAAGGACAGAAGATCAGGGTCTGGCCTTGCAAGGTTTGTTGCACAACAGAGCAGAGCTGGGGAGAGCAAGCAAGGGCGGGGCCAGGTGGTGGAAGGAAGAGAAACAACATGGACTAGTCCCCAAGCCGGGGCCAACACACGTCTATTCCCACTTCCCTCTAATTTCTAATTCTTTCTGAGTGTACAACATGGGAAGCAATGGGAAGGCAGAAGGAAGAAGAAGCCAAAGAAATAAAGGGACTTACTGTGGGCCTGACTTCCTAGGTGAGGAGAAGATCAGAGGTGGATCTGTAAGGACAGGAGAGTAGCAAGGTGATCCGGGTAAAGTTCTGCCCAAGTTCCAGGGGTGTAACCCTCGGCCTCATTCCCAGCCAACTGGGAAAAGGGCACGTAGGGGCCAGGGGCCAGATCTGAAGGCTGCCGCACCAGGACCAAGTAAAAAGCAGCTGGTGGCTGGGCAACCTTTCACGTGGCCAAGTAGTACTTAGGACCCCAGTGATGAGGGTGGAGGGGTGAGGGCAGCCTAGGGAAGAGAGTGGTGGCACCTACCCTGGCGCAGACGTTTTCTGTGGCGGCGGGCAGCCCTGCGCCGATTCATGAGGCAGGCAGCCAGGATGCTCACAAGGACTGCCACGCCCAAGAAGCAGACCCCACCCACAACACCAGCCAATACAGGCTGGGGCAGGA